CAAGACGGAGCACTGGACATCTCAGCTCGACTCACTGTATTCAAAAAAGGAGAGAGGTCCCGGCGGATGGCCTCCACTTTAGATTTTAAAAATGCTGCAAATTGGTCCGGTGTAAAACTAGGGGGAGGCCTATCACCCGGGCCAATTCCGGATAGGTCACGTACTATACGGAATAATTCCGCCTGCTGATTGGATGCCTCGCTTATCCGGTTCGCGAGGTATGTTCGACTGGCAGCCTTTACCTTGGCCTGGTAAAGGTTAGTAGCGACCTTAACAGCTATATGATTAAAAACCGTCGGGTCCTTTCTCCATTTGCGCTCTAGCCGTCTCCTGACCCGCTTCGACGTCCGGAGATCCTGGTTAAACCAGGGCGCTGGGCGGTCTCTGCGGCGGAGAGGGCGTACCGCCTCATAGCGCTGAAAGCACTCGCTGGGTGGTTGACAATTTAATCATGTAGGGTGTCCCTGGCCCCCACCCCCAGCAAGCGAGGTCCTCGATTTACCCACCTTGGAAGGATGGGAGGCTGAGTGAACCTTGAGCTGGCTCCCTGGGATTGAACCCTGGGTCGTGAGCAGAGTTTTCACCGCAGGACGCGCAGTTGAACCCTTGTGCCACGAAGCTCATTATCTCGGAGCCAGGAGACTTTGGATCCGCTGGAAACGTGCATGATCCCTGTTTGGCGCAAGCCCAGGAAAACAGCAGCCAAGTGCCCTGGGTGAACGTCCCGGCCGGATCAGCACAGCCAGGCCTCCCCCCTTTTTGGTAGCAGCAGCTGCATTTGCTATTCAGAGCAACAGCTGCGAGCCGAAGCAAAGCAGCAAGGGACAGCTCCATTTGCCTATGAGGAAATATCTCATGAAGGGCCTCAGGTTGGCTCATAAAAATAACCCTCCCGTCCAGCCCGTGGCTGCATTTGGAGAGAGGCTGTGGCCCGGAGAGCAGACGCGTGGGCGCCTCTCCCAATTAAAAGTGGCACCGGATTTGACAAGTCTATCATCCCTTTTATTCGTAATCCTTGAGGTTTACGAATTAACGTGGCTTCTTAAAGCTGTTTGGGTCCCTTCATCGTGGCTCGGAGAGAACAAGCCGTCTTGCAGAGGACTTCTTCGTGGAAATAGGTCCCCCAAAGCAATTCCTCCCTCTCTGTTCTTCAGACGTCCGCTTGGAGTAACCGGGTATGTGTTTTAGCAGCTTTGAGGTTCGCAAGACCGCCTGCCGAGGGGAACGGGATTGTGGGGTTCTCGTCTGAGGTCCGAGGCAATTGCTTGCGAAACCGTAAGGAGTATTTCTCAAAACACCAAGCACAGATTGCAGGAAAAAAACGCCGGGCTGTGTGTGTGGGGAGGTGTTGGTTTACCACCACCATCCGCCTCTGAGACTTGGGTTTCTGGAGCAGCCGTCCCTCGACTTCATAACACCAGCCCCACTTTTGTGACTCCCCACATCGACTGTCATCCAAGCTCCTTTTAACATTTTTTTTAAAAAATGGTGCTTGTAACAAACAAAATCAACGCAAAATTAGTAAACATGATCTTTCTTGAAAAATAATTGCAAATATGTTTTTCCCCCCATCATAAAAAGTTAATTTAAAAGTTTGTTTTAAGAAGCAGGTGAAGGAAAACAAATTTAATGTGACGGATACCACTTCCCCCCATCATAAAAAGTTAATTAAAAAGCTTGTTTGTTTTAAGAAGCAGGTGAAGCAAAACAAATTTAATGTGACGGATACCACTTGAAATCCAGAATGAAGGTGGATAAACTCTGTTTACAGATACATTGGTGTGATAAGTCCCCGGTTCCTCACATCAAAACCAACACTGGGTATGAGAAGGAGGTTCATTTCAAAGTTGGAACCATATATTAATCTCTGCCCGTTTTTAATTTGTTTTTAAATGTTCTTCTACTTGGTTATTTTAGTTTAATGCACTCTAATGATGTTATGGTTTTTTTGTTGTTGTTGTTTTGGACTTATATACCGCCCCATAGAATGACTACATTGAAATCCTGTTGGGTTTAATGCACTCTAATGGTGTTATGTTTGTTATTGCTATTGTCAGTGTTGTGAACTGCCCAGGGTGACCATTGGTCAGATGGGCAGTATAGAAATAATATAAAACAAACATATTTTAAAACCTACAGTTCCCAGAATCTCTCAGCCTGCATGCAGGACCACTGGCTATGCTGGCTGCTGGATTCTGGGAAATTTAGTCTGTAAAAAGTTAACTTTTCACAAGCTCTGGTTCATTTGATCCATAAATTTTGGTAATTAGGAAGCCAAACCACCTAGACCAGTTTTTTTTAATCTGTTGGGATAAGAGTGTGTAGAACTTATTAAAAATTGCTCATGTTGTTATGTTTGTTATTGCTATTGTCAATATTGTGAACTGCCCAGGGTGACCATTGGTCAGGTGGGCAGTATAGAAATAAAATATATAAAATATATTTTAAAACCTACAATTCCCAGAATCTCTCAGCCTGCATGCAGGACCACTGGCTATGCTGGCTGCTGGATTCTGGGAGATTTAGTGTGTAAAAAGTTAATTTTTCCCAAGCTCTGGTTCATTTGATCCATAAATTTTGGTAATTAGGATAAGAGTGTGTAGAACTTATTAAAAATCTTTTTTTTTCTTCCTGATAGCTGTCCCTCATTTTCCTTCTTTTTTTTTTCCCTTTTCTTACAGATGTTTGCTTTCTGGGACTGAATGGGACTAGAAAGAAAAAAACAGGAGTCTGAATGAACATCAACGCCTCTGTCTTAGCAAACGCATGACTCCCCGTCTCACGGACGAGGGAAAAGGACGTTGCCTGCCGACAGGTTCCCCTCTGCGTTCCGGATCGTGTCAAAAGACCTCTTGTTTCGGAAGGGGTTGTTCCAAGTAAGACCAGACTATGTACACCTTTCTGCCTGAGAACTTCACTCCGGTGAAGCCAAAACCACCCAAAGAGTTGAAACCCATGATCGTGGCCATCCTGGTCGGCCTCATCCTCTTCATCGCAGCGGTGGTCGCCTGGTGCTATTACGTCGCCTCCCTCCGTAAGGCCGAGAGGCTCAAGACGGAACAGATGGACCTGCGGCAGGATGGGTTCACCATCAAAAACCAGGACGGAGAGTTGGTCTTCAGGCTGGCTTTCCAGTCGGGGGTCCTTGATTTGGAGTCTTGCTCGAGGGAGGGCGCCAATTTGACCTGCACTCGGACGGACCGAGGGAAACTCAATTTCTTCATAAAGATTGTCACCCCCAAGGACACGGTGATGTGCTACCGGGTCCGATGGGAAGAGTTCGTAGCGGACACGGTGGTGGAGCACAAAATGTATTGGGGGGATGCTCACTGGTACGGGGGCTGTGAGATGAGCGTCCAGCACTGGCCGATTCAGCTGCCTGGGTCCCAGGAGCCCATGCCTTTCGTGACCAGCGATGTGTATTCTTTCAGGAACAGCTTTGGGGGCATCTTGGAGAGATACTGGATCTCTTCCAAAGCCGCCGCCATCAAGATCAACGACTCCGTGCCCTTCCACCTCGGCTTCAACGCCAGCGAAAGGTCCCTCACCTTCCAAGCCAGATATAAAGATTCGCCCTATAAGCCTCCCTTAGGCAAGCAGCCTTTCCCCGAACTGAGTTACCGGGTCTGTATCGGCTCCGATATCACCTCCATCCACAAATACATGGTGCGGAGATACTTCTACAAGCCTTCTAAGATCCCTTCGAAAAACGCGTTCCGGTATCCCATTTGGTCGACCTGGGCTTTGTACAAGAACGATATCGACCAGGATAAGCTGCTGCGCTTTGCCGAAAAGATAAAGAAGTATAAATTCAATTGCAGCCATATTGAAATAGACGATGCCTACACGCAGGCCTATGGGGATTTCGACTTCGACCCGGTCAAATTCCCCAATGTGACGGAAACGTTTGAGAAGCTGAAAGAAGACGGCTTTGAGATCACTCTTTGGACCCACCCCTTCGTCAACTACAACTCCTCAAACTTCGGGGTGGGCATCGAGAGGCAGCTTTTCATCAAGGAGCCAACGGGAAGGCTCCCCGCTATGGTGGAGTGGTGGAACGGCATTGGCGCCATCTTGGACTTCACCAACCCTGCCGCCAGGGACTGGTTTCAGAGCCACCTGAGGCAATTTCGCAGCCGCTATGGCATCTCGTCCTTCAAGTTTGACGCGGGAGAAACCAGCTACCTTCCCAAACAGTTCAGCACCTTCCGCCCGTTGTCGGACCCCAGCGTTTGGTCCAGGCGCTACACAGAGATGGCCATCCCTTTTTACGAGCTGGCCGAGGTCCGGGTGGGCTACCAGTCCCAAAACATCTCTTGCTTCTTCCGGATCATCGACCGGGATTCGGTTTGGGGTTACGAACTCGGATTGAAGTCCTTGATCCCCACTGTCTTGACCATCAGCATGCTGGGATACCCTTTCATCTCGGCAGACATGATTGGTGGAAACATCTTCCCCAACAAAACAGACGGCGCCGTCGAGATCCCAGACCGAGAACTCTACATCCGTTGGCTGGAATTGTCGGCCTTTATGCCCTCCATGCAGTTCTCTATCCCACCTTGGCTTTACGGTAAAGAGGTGATCGATATCGCCCTGAAGTTCACGCAACTCCACGAGTCTTTGGTGGCCCCCCTCTTGTTGGAGTTGGCCGGGGAGATCACAGACACCGGGGACCCCATCATACGGCCCATCTGGTGGATTTCTCCCAACGACGAGGCGACGCACAAGATAGATTCCCAGTTCCTGATTGGGGACACGCTGATGGTGGCTCCCGTTTTGGAGATGGGCAAGCAAGAGCGAGACATTTACATCCCGGCTGGCAAATGGCGGAGCTATAAGGGGGAACTCTTTGAAAAGACCCCCACCTTGGTGACTGACTATCCAGTGGATTTGGATGAAGTTGCTTATTTCATCTGGGTGTCGTAACGGACTTCCTCCACCCCGCCACCACCAGCAAGCTTTCATCCTTGGTGAAAGTTAACCATGCCTTATTCTAGGATCCTAAGAGCAAAGGAGACGGAAGGAGAACATGGGGAATGATTGTGTGTGGGATAGGCAACCTGGTGTACTCCGGGTGGTTTGGATTACAACTCCCCTAAGCTCCCAGTCTTCATGCTGGGGGATGATGGAGGTGGTTGTCCAAAGCATTTGGGAGGGGACCAGGTTGTCTAACCCCCAACTGCACCATAATCCTCTAAGTATGCTACAAAGATATAGCTTTGAGAGAGAGAGAGAGAGAGTGGTCTAGACATATAGGTAGAGACTAATAGGGTCCCAAGACGTGCACGACGAAGCAGGAGGCCCCACTGGGAAAGCCGGGGGTTACCCGGCTCCGCTTGTCGTTGCTTGGCGTGGCCACTCGTGAATGTATTTCTTCCGCCTTTTTGTTTTCAAGCGTGGCTTTGAGGGACCTTGAACGCCGTCCGTGATGATGAACAAATTCCACCCACAGCTTGGTGCTTCGGACCGGACCGGAGGAGCCAGCTTGGAGTTGGGTTGGGAGTGCCCTTTGCTGCAAGGGTGGAAGGAGCTGCCTGCCTGCAACTTGGAGTTGGGTTGGGAGTGCCCTTTTCTGCAAGGGTGGAAGGACCTGCCTGCCTGCCTGCCTGCCAGCTGCTTCTTCAGCCTTCGAGCCACGAGCAGCTGAGCAATACGAGCGAGAACGCCCACCTTCCTAAGGGACCGACCGGGGTTGGGGGGGGTGGCTGTTTTCCCAGAAAGGGGAGGCACCTAGGGTTTGCTACAGCACAACGAGCCTTAAGTTTTACAGTGCAGTAAGCTATTATTTGAAATACCACTTTTTTCTAAAAAGAATAATTCCAATTATATATATATCTCTATATACACATACACACAGAGTATATAAAAAATTAAAATGTATATCTCCTTGCCTGATGTTGGGCAAGGCTAGCCTATATGATCTCTAGAACTCGTTGCACATTTTAATTCCTGGGCTGGGCAGGTTACTTAGCTCAGAGAAGTTTTTTAAACAGGGTGGAAAGACGGTGTATTAACCTGTCCTTCGCTGCTAGCCCAGACGGTGGCTGGGTAGCCAAAAAAATATATATCTCCAGTATGGATGTGGTGACACAGAGGTGTTTCAAATAGGAATGTAAATTGTGCTCCTCCTCCTTCCCTTTCTCTGTTCCCCTGTTGCTGCTTCTCCTGTTTCTGGATCTTTGCAAGCTTCCTTACCATCGAAGGACTTTTTTGGCTCGTCGGCCATTCCCAGGAAGAATGCCCGGCTTGTCCAGACACACCGCAGCAACTCACTGGTGACTCACAGGGTGCGGCATGTGG